TAGCAGCTGTCAGGTAGATCTCCGATAATGATAACTGAGCTGAAGGACCGAACACATTTTCACACATCCTCCTATCCAGATTGCAGTAGACACAGGCCGCAGGATGAAGAACTGAAAGTAGTTAAGATTGCGTCCTCAGAAAAATACTGACTAAGTGCAATTCATCACAACATACACACAGATAACACTGTCTTGAATAAGCCTGAGTGGCGGATCATATAGCAAGAGGTGAATCCACGTCCAAGGTAACTTAGAGGGGTTGCTGTTGGATCTGTTGGTTCAACGTTGAATCTATGAAAGCATATGCAGATCTCATTGTTTGACATTTTGGAATCCTTTATTTTGGGATTTGCATATGTGGTCGGCTGCACGACGAAGAGACTCATATCCACAACAGGAGTCCAAACAGTGTGGTATTTAATGATTGCCCTGTCAGTGCAAGGGCTATTCTGTTGCCGCCAGACATACACCTGCACATGCTTTTCATTGAGAGCTAAAACTGTAGGCTTGATAAAGCAGTGCTCCATAGGTTGTTCTTGATACATGTAGCTTAGATTCAACTAAGCAATCAGGTTTGAACCTGTTTACCATGAATCAAGGAAGACGAGCTTCAACGAAGAAGGTAGAAGTGCATCCGAAATTATTGCCCACTCCCACAAAGAAGTATTCCATTCCTCAGGCAAACAGAACAGTGGAAAATAAATCTGGAAGTAGGAACCATGAATCACGTCTCAAATTGTTGAACACCTGCTACAAATCAAGCAGTACTGTCCCGCAAGCTTTTTTACGAAAGGATTCAAGGGAAGATCAATCATCAAACTTTTGAGTCTCAGTTTGTTGTCTGCTCGCAACAGACATGAATCTCGAGCAAACTTCAGTGACGTAGTCACGTATCTCAGTCAATTGTGCTGGGATTGGACTGATTCATTCTACAGAGTATGCAGGTTATGAGAAACTGTAAGCATTCTTGCATAAGTTTGCTTTATAACTAACAATTAGTTGAAAACAGGTAGGGACACAGTAGTTAAGATATGCACGGCTGGTGTTTTTGGATACGCATAACAAGGAGGGTCAGAGTTCCAGATTTTTCGAAAGATTGCTTGGATTCGGTCAACGAACACTTCAAGTCTACGTTATTACCTTCTGGGTAGACCTGCCATGCCGAAGACCACGGTGGCCATGATACGCACCCAGAGAAGTGCTTCAAAGAATCATTTTAGATTTGACACAGTGAAGACTCTCTGGTGGAACTTTCTTCATGCCTTCATGCAACTGATTAGACAACGTTGTTCAAAGTCTTGTGCTGATGCAAAATCAACTTATGATCTTGCTGCAAATTCATCGAGGATTGCGTCGGTCACGTATCAAATCTCCCTGTCTCGTGGACCATCGCTCGTAAAATATTCACTGAGAATGAGCTTGCTGGTCTGTACTGAAATGGCTCGAAAGACTTGTAAGTTGTTTAGGTCCACCATCACTTGCCTCGACAGAATTGGATCAAGGTGTCAACTGATAGTCCGCCTTAGACCCAGCGCATCATTGAACAAGCCGCAGAAAATCTAGAGATGACTGCATTGTCGGAATATATGCTTGTCAGGATACCGGCCGCTTTACTGAGACCACAATCATCACTCGTTGTGACATAAGCAGACGACGACGGAGAAGTGAGTTTATATTTGACGCCAGTCTTTCAGAAAGAGTTTCACCCATGATCAGTCGGATCACGTGAGAGAAGCAGCAACGGAACTCTGGGTGGTCACAAATCGCGCATCTACTCTTCCCCAGTTGTCAGCTTACAGTGACATCAGTTCGGCCACGCCGTGCACCTGCTACTGTTTTCAGGGATCTGAAACGCCTTGTGAGTTGATTTCATGGAACTACTGATTGTTGTCAACTGCTTTCCTAGTTCCTTCCGATTAGGTGGGGGCCCTGTGGCTTTCTTGTCTTGACGCATCGCTGGTCACTACGTATGGCTTCTTTGGCTTTAAGGGGTCTCAAGTTTGTTTCTTGTCTGCGTTGCTTATTCCGAGGAAGGAGAAGTCTCTTCAGTCATGGATATGAAGCTTCATTGACTTCGTCAAGGACGGACGGCAGATCTCCTCTCCCATGCCATTTGAGTTTATGACCTGCTTTTCTAATGAACAATTGGAAGCTTCATCAAGGTCGACCGGTGCTACCTCCTTCCTTCTCTGTCACGCGCGTTCGTGATCAGGTCGATATGCATGTCCGAGGACAAAGCTGACCGAATTTCCAGCGCAGGGTGTCATGCATGGCATCTTTGTCAACAGATAACTCGGTCGAGCATTTGCCGATGTTGGACGAGCAGAACGCACTTGGCCCTGCTCGATTCAAATTTGCAGCCGGCTGTGGATTGACTAGTCCTATAAGCCTCAACCAGTAGATTTCATTGCTTATACCTGCAAAACGTTCTCTGTTATCGAATCACACGCCAAATTTGAGTTCTCAAGGATTGGAAAGTTGATGCGGGTGCCAGTTATTCAGCCATGGTCTGCAGCCAATGTTAGCTCGGGACTGAACAATCTTTAGCAATGATAATGAAATCATGAACGCACCATTACATAACAGACAGACAGCTAGCTGCAGGTTAGGCTCTAGCTATACCAGACACTCCGGGCTCACTAGGATCCCAAGCCTTGAGGCGCAACTTTTGATACAACAGTGGCGAATCACTAAAGATCTTGAAAGGTATCAACACGTGTTTATAACTCATAAAAAGTTCTCGATTCGGGAGAGTTTAGAGAGAGAGAGGGAGGTGGATTGCAGTCGCCCTGTCTCCGCTGGTTGAATTTATGTGAGTGGCTGATTAGTACTCAAAAGGAGTTCACTCGGCCTCCCCAGTAACAGCCTGTCGCGCTGATCATGCTGTCAGGCAGGCTACTCTGCAAATGTAGCCTGAACTTGTGGCTCGGGCAAGAGTCCTATGCTGTTGACTAAACTCGAGGTTATACTTCTTGCAAGCGAACGTTTCTTGGCGCATTCCTGCACATGAAACATGGTACCAGTGAAGGATAGCTGTCTTTTAAAAGATGCAGGGTTGGCAAATCAACTGTTATTGAAACAAAATCTTTACATGTACAACTATTTCTGGACAAAGACTTGCATATTCGTATCATTCCGAACTTGTGTTGCGCATGGCCAGTTTGAAGCCTCGAGTCTATGTCTATCCTGGCTTGATAGTACATATTTATGTAGTGTGTTCAAAGCTAGATAGAAGACTTCTCGATTCGACGGCCGAGGGAGATTAAGTAGCTAGGACAGGAGGGCCTGTCCTGGCTCCATAGGCCTGGAATCATAATCCCTTTGCCTGATAATAGCACCTACAGGGACCTGGCAACTCGGATCACAGGGGAGGTTTTGTTACACACTTGAATGTGAAACGAGTTTATAAGACAGCTTAGAATATGGTAATTACCAATATCTATATAAAGTCTAGGGTTACAGCATTGTCGGCCTACTAAAAACATTCAGAGTAAGATAACAATGTCATAATGGAGCAAAAATGTTCTGTTGTTCCTTAAACTCGACGGAATCAAACTGAAAATGTCTTTACTTAATGAACAAATTACACCAATCTAATCACGAGCAGGTTCAGAACTGTGGTAAATAATACATATTCTTGGACGAATAGTCGGATATCGAATATGCTGAGAATGAAGCAGCTGGATTAGTCTTCATGGGAGGGACCGACTGAGCTTTTCGTTGAGGTTTCAGGGTGTATTGCGTTGAATCGGCATATAGGTCCATGAGAAGTGGATTCAATAACAAATAAGTGGCTTCGATTTGTCACATTCCAGTACCGTATCAAAACAGGAGCCTACTGAATGAAAGAGCAGATTTGTTGATTTGTCATCAAATGCAGGACTTCTGGTCAAATCTTCGACATCCAGAACTTTTCTTTATTCAAATCCGTACATCAACCTCTTCCCGTAACATCCTGGCCAGGTAAACAAAGCCATTTGCTAATACGGGCCTGAGAACACGGGCAGAGAAGACCACCTAAGAAGACAAAGATCAATGGAATAGCTCACGACTTTCCACGAGGATCTGCCTGGGGAGGTGAAACCTCATTGAATCACGTGAGACTACGATAGATTTTCTCCTAGAACATCAGTCTTCAGCAACAAATCTAGGTCATAAGTTTCCGTTTCATGTTACAGACAGTGAAGTTCCCTAGCATGAAACAAGACAACACACATAGATCTCCCAGCCGTACTTTACTTGTTGATTCCAGGCATGTCTGCTTTATATACGGACGCTAGTGTTTCTTCATGTGGAAGGCAACAACGTACAATGTACACATATAAAAGTTAGCTAAAAGTTGTGGCCCTTCTAAAGCAGGAATCTGAAACTGTGTCAGAATCATGGCTTCAGCTTCCTAATCTTCGGGCAATTCAATTCTTCTGGGCTTTGAAAATTATAGTGGTCCTTTCGTAGTAGCTTCGAACGGAGACCGTTATGGAAAAAGGAAGAGTATGGGTTCGGATCCATTAAGCTCTGATGCAGATAGTTACACTTTTTAGTTATAAGAAGCAGAGTTTAAGTGGATCCGAAGATTAAGACCTGTAACCTGGTCAAGTCAAATATCTAGACGTATTTCAACTTTGCACAACACTTTGACATATCATTGTAGACTGGATAGACTATCAATATTTCTTGCTGGTATTTATGACCAGGCACTAACTCTATGCTCCTCACTAGGACACTCGAATGTTTGGCATCCTAATATGTCAACAACAGTATCTTCGTATCGTTGTACCATTCTTTCGGATTTGTGTTGCAAAAGTGGGAAAAAGAAATATAAATAAGAATATAAAACTGAATCATACCAGTACTTAAACCTCAAGCTTCATGTACTTGTGCATTTACAACCATCCAGCTCATCTGGTTGGTAAGCAGATTGTTTTTTCTCTTCCAGAGAGCTCTTTATCATCTTAGAAGAGCTCGATGCCTCAGCGCGTCAACTCATAAATATACCGAGGCTTTGTGGAAGTTGCTAGCAGTGTATTCATCTCATCGATGATGATGTTTAGGCAGGATGAGCGAAGCATTCGATGATAATTTTACGTTAGCATACATACTTCTCAACGCTCTGATTTCAGATTTGTCTTCAAGATACAGTTCCTAGCTTCTGTTGAGTTTGGAAAATTCAGGTGCACAGTCTAGAAAGAGCAGTTCATCGTGCGTGGTAGTTTGACAGTAAGAAGCAATCAAGCAACAGTTGGCCTCTGAAATTGCCAAAAGTTGGTAAAGTCTCATGGAACAATTTCTCAATAAGTTCTTTCCTGAGGTGGTCGACCATCATTATGAACGTAACAACTATTGCATGTACGATGATTCTGGACTAGCAGATTTCACATCCTGCCTCTACATTGGGGGTTTCCTTGGAACGATTTCAGGAGCTGTTCTTAGTCGCCGATGCGGAAGACGCGCATCAATTCTTCTCGGCGGTGCAAGTTATTTAGTAGGAGCTGTCATGACTGCTGCAGCCATGCATTTGCCGACTGTCGTCGTTGCCCGAATATTAATGGGATTTGGAATCGGTTTGCTGAATCAGGTAATCTTTCTTAACACCATTCTTCTGTGTCGATGTATAAAAATACTATGCTAAGAACTGTAAACCAACCTGACATGTAAACTACTGATTGTTTTAGGCAGAATGTAGGAAAGGAACATATCATAATTGAAGTTCAGCTGATCTTGCTTTACTTCCGTGCTCAGCTGGAGCAACTCGACTTCAGATCAGTTCCTAATCTGTTCATATTCTTCTTCTGATTAACTACTATCATCGATAAGAACCATCATACTTATTTTTTCCTACTTCAGATCGAGATTGATAATAATGAAGACTTGCCAACAGCGTTTTACTCTTTCTCATCATTCTTAAGACAATATTTGCCCAAAGAAAATTGCCATCATCTCCTTCACAGCTGAATTTTGAGTACGCGTATCGAGCCAAATAGAACAGGACTCAACATGTATCTTCGTTCTCAAGCTGAAACTCAGGATTTATGCATGTCATCGAAACTCTTGCGTTTATTTTGGGCATTCATCCTGCGCTCATCGATATTTTTTATTCGAAGATTATTAAAATTGAATTATTGTCCTTACAGCCTTGTTCGATTTGTGATATTCAGGCTGTGCCCGTTTACTTGTCAGAAATGTCAGACGAGAAACATCATCTCGCTAAGGAGATTTGCTTGGAACTGGCACTATCAGTGGGCGTGTTGATCTCGAACCTTGTAATGTACGGATCCGGGAAACTACCGGAGTGGGGATGGAGGCTATCATTGGGGCTGTCAGCAATTCCGGGTGCCAGTATTTTATTCATCGGCCTCCTTATACCTGAAACTCCAAGAAGTCTGATACAACGTGGCCATGACGAAAAAGCCAAAGCTCAGCTCACCGAACGTTACGGAGAAGCAGAAGCCGTCGTGATTTACGATGAGACCCTCGAGTCTATAAACGCTGAAAGCGCAGTCAAATATCCGTATATCGAGCTGCTGAAGTCCGACAACCGTCCGCAATTTGTAATGGCACTTCTGATTCCTATGTTCACGCAAGCCACAGGAATCAGCTCACTCATGTTCTTCGCACCGGTGATCTTCCAAGCCATCGGTTACCAACCACTTGATTCGGAGCTCTATGCTGGCTTGATAATTGGATTAGTCTACATTGTCTGCACTCTTATTTCGATTGCGATCGTAATGAAGTTCGACTACAAACCGCTCTTTTATGAAGCCGGTATTCAAATGATTCTTGCTCTGGTAAGCCACCGAGTTGTAACTTTGTCAACCTCAGTTTTCATGAAGCTTTTAGTCCTTATAATACATGACAAGCAGATGTTTGAAGACTCTTTTTCTTTCATATGGAACTGCTCGGTTTTGTATCTGACAGCATTAGCAATCTTCAAATCTTGCAGGTGGCGACTGGTTTCATGCTTGACTACAAACTAGATCTGCACAACTTTCCAGAGAAGTGGGTTACTGCATCTGTGATTTCTCTTCTGTCGATATATATTGCCGCCTACACTTGGTCTTGGGGTCCATTGTGCTGGATGATTCCGACCAGCCTGTCCCGTCCAGAGTTGCATTCGGCCACTCATAATTTCACTCTCAGCGCTAATTATATCTTCACATATGCCTCCTGGAGATCTTTTCTGAAGATTCTCTGCACTTTCCATTACGGTACATTCTTCTACTACGCCGGCTGGATTTTCGTGGGGACTATTTTTGTGATGCTGTTTTTGCCGGAAACAAAACATTTGTCACCGGATGATACGGCAAGTGTTTGGAACTCCCACTGGTTCTGGAAGAGGTCCGTGGCTCAAGCTAAAGTGAACCCCTTCTCAGATCCGTTTGGTGATGGAAGCCATAACGGAAGTGCCGTGAAAATCAAAACAACTTCTCTCAAGGTACCTGAGCATGTAGTACATGTGCCGAGAAGTTCTTCCACCGGAAGTGTCATTGAGTACGATTTCAACTGGAACCTGTACTGAGATTTTTTGGAACCTCTACTACCCAGAGCATTCCGGCTTACTACATCATAATCATGACATTCGTTTGTGATCGCGAATGAGTTTGGACGTGTTCTCCTTCAACGACGAGGATTACAAGAAGACAACACGTGTATAAATATTCCTCATGTGCAGAATTACCGCAGCACGTAATCCGCATCCGATGAACAACTTCAGACGAACCAGTGCCAGTATTACGATGCCTCATCGGTGTTTGATGGTATGGTCAGAGCAAGCATTTCAGTTGGCTATCGACGTTGTCATAATTAGCACGTCAAATTTAGCTTGTATTTGGTAACAATCTCAGCCGGGAAACCACGACTGCGGGTAAATTTTGCCCAAAGTGTACATTACAGGCAGTAAGCCTCGATGAGGTTTACTTAGGTGTACAGTAGTGATATAATCAAGTGGAGAGATGTGACATGTCCGTCTGCCATGAGCCGGCTTGAGTGTGAGAGAGATTTTTTGTACGCTCTCCATCAGAGAAGACATGAACATTCTTCTAAAATTTGGGAATCAAGATCCAATTTATGTATTCGATCGTGAGCCTCACACTCAAAAGTACGTGACTTCCAGCCCTTAGAACTCGCAGTGAAATACTCGAAGTCCTCAATTACATTATTACTTATATAAGCACTTCACAGCGTCTTGAATGCTGTTCTTCGCGATCAATGTCTTATTAGTCTTACTATCTCTAGTTGTCGTTCTGGTTTCGTCTGTTACGACTGGTCCCATCAAATAACTCACGTTATATCATAAAGCAAAACTCTCACAGCTCTGGTGTCGAAAATGATAGATTCGCTTACCCAGGTGATTTTATCGCAAGAACTCACAAGCATTCACACTAGAGACGCGGCTAGAGGAATGGCAACATATGGACCTACGCTGCTTCTTCTTCATCTCGCCAATCTCCTTCCGCTTCAGTTATTTTCCCATCCGTGACGTTTGCATGGTATTGCGTTCCAGTGCTGAATATCAACATTTAGAGTGCTGAATATCAACATTTAGAGTCCAAACATATGTGATGGCTGGCTGACTTGTAACTATAGAAGTGTGTGTAGAGAACGTCTGTATAATAAGTATGTTTAATGCAGAACCATGTATACAACTATACGACTGCACATGTATCAAGTTTATAATATTTGGTGGCTGCGGGCTGTTACACATCCCCATTGAATTATTTTATCATTCCACAATCGGCACACTTCCTCGTCCATTCCATTGCAACGTGGAATGGATGAACTGCGCCATATACAATGGTGCAATTTGCACCATCGTCATGGGTCCGAAGAAGGACGCAGTGTGGTACTAGTTTCACAAACGAAGGCAGTTTGCAGACCAAATACTGGTTGATACCAACGACATTTTGGAGTAGTATTTTGTGATGCTCTCCATCAATAAATTCAGCTCACATTTGCTCATTGTATTAAAAAAAACGTATTATACAGCCCACAAAGCAAAAAATCATAAAATACAGTTCTATACTTGTAACTCTATTTGCCAGCTATACTGCCGTACTCTCTCACTTTTAATACTATTAACTGAAGGAGCGGGTATGTCTCCATTTTTCCAATATCTCTCTCTAATTGCGATTGAAAGTCAAATTCATTTGAAAAAATATTCGGAGTTAAAAGTTATTGATCATTTCAAGGACAATTATTGTGGATAAAACTTGCGATTAATAATTTTCACAGCAAACGTTGTATTGCATTGCATGTTTTAGTGATGCTAGGATGAAATGAACCTCAAATGTTCCTTGGAATCGAAATGTGACATGTACAAGTCTATCACCATTGAGAGGCTATATTTCTGATTTCATATATATATTAATTAATTTATTTATTTATTATTTTATAAATTAATATTTTATTATCAAAGTTATGTGTGAGACGAATTTGGAAATTTTAACTTCTACTTTTTGACAGAAAAAATATAAAATTTTAATCTAATACAAAGTGTTACATGTAATATTGAATTATTGTTCAATATCATCATTGAAATAGATAACGATATTTTATCTTGAGATCGTTATAGACAAATTAGATACTTCATTGAAAACATATACCATTCAACTAAAGATAAATGAAGTGAAAATGGATGTTAAATTTTTTACTCATAAAAAACTATTTAATATAAGAGAAATAGACGAATCAAATTTGATGATTACCAGAGTACTTTACATCAGTTGAATATATAATATTCTGTACACTTTTTAACTGCGATTCCTAAACATTAGAATAACAATTCTAATATTTTCATACTTGGTTGTTATCTATTGGGCTCTCTCGACAAGAGTAAAAACTCTTGTCGAGAGCCAAGTCGAGCGAGAGAGATTACTAAACTTTGCATTCGAGAGGATTTTCGAACTGTAGAATTAAACCTCATTTGGCCCACTTTGGCAGAAATGTTGTTAAAATGTGTTGAAGCAATAAGTGGCAATCACTTGAATCTCAAGAATGATCTAATATCCAGATATTATAGGCTTCCAGGAATCTCGCCACGTTGTCTCTCTAATCCTCGCAGCAGCCTTATAAGCTACATGAAGAAAGGTTTGGAATGCATGCCGCAAAATGTTTGATTTGCTTGTATGTGAACATGGATCTGGCCCCATGTTCTCTAAGATATAGTACAGAGTACGATCAGCGAAGTGTTTGATTTGCTTGTATGCTAACATGGATCTGGCAGTAAAATTAAAATAAATCTAGCTGCCAGACGGAATTGTCAACTGGAAGTTGAACTGATTCGAGCTGAAAGAGCAGCAAGAATGAGTCCACAAGACTCAAGCGTTCTAAACGTGATGTCCTTTTCAGCAAAAGGGTCAGAAGTCAGCATTGGTAAAGACATGTATAAAGACGACAGCTGCTTGGTCTCGTCTACGACACATGTACGTTTCAGTTCTTTGGCTTCTTTATTGGAATGGTGCAGCTCCTTCGTTCTAAAAGACTAAAGGAATCAGAATTTTAGACTAGATATTAAGAAGATCAACCAACTGACTTCAGTGGCATCAAGCAGGTGAAGTCAAACAGTTCTTGTATTCAACTATAGATCAGAAAGAGTTTCGAGCACTTCTCTTCCATGTCAAGTTATATGTTAATCTATCACCATGAATGGCGGCACTCGAGTATGAAACCTCTATGCATCAGTGTGAGATCTTCATTGATAATTCACTTAACTTCCGTCTAAGCGCCAACTTGGAATGAGATGTGTCCTTGGTATAGAGAAAACATTAGCTAGGTGGGAATACATTCAATGGAATTACGTATAACTTCATCACAAAGCTTATCATAGTAACCACCCCTTGTTCCATGCAAAATATTCGAATCATACTAAATTTAAATTCATTGTAATATAATATTGTTAAAAATTCTGCACTTCATGTCCAACCAAAGCTCATTAATCATAACAAGTCATTTGGAGATTTGTAATTTTATCCACAACTCGATGCATGAAATTTTAAAAAATTTGAATATGTTTGAGCTATTGATTTAAAACCTCAAATATACTTTCTTTCACCAAAATTGAACTAGATAAATCATTAAAAAAATTAAGAAAAAATTTTTAATTATCAATTATCTTCATGCATGTAACATTCAAAACAAGTGAGCATATCACACGATTTTAAAGTCCCAAAATTTAAAGAGTAATTTATCGTTTTTCCTTCTGATATAAAACTATTTTACATCAAAAAATATAAAAAACTCCATAATTATCTATTGCATTTATCATGCGTTATATTTTATCATCCTTGTTCAATCAATATAACAATTAATACATAAAATCATAAACAATTTATGACATGTATATTTAAGCTATCTCTATTTAATTACTATATTAACATTCGTAACATGTAACCATCTTCATTTAGTTAGATCTAAAGTTAAAGTTATTCAAAATAGAGTTAAAGATCTTTTATACTGGATTATTTATTATTCTACAATTGTCATGTCATCAATTTGTGTGTTTGGTAAGTTAAAAATGAATGCGTTAGGTAATAAAGACACATTAGCCATTTGTATTCTTGCTGGATAAGAATTAAATGAATACTTGGTAACAAAACTTCATCAATTAATGTGCTTGTTAGAATTATCTCTTGTGTCACCAATTCATTAGAGTTTAATGAATGGAGGTGGTAGGATTATATCTTTTTTTGTTGAGGTTAATTACGGTTAAGGAGTAACCTTGGATCCTAAAAATGTAAAAAATAGTCGCATGTGTTGGGGTATTTAAGACTCGGGGTAAAATATCCAAAGGCTTCTGCATTGTACAGATTTTTTCCAGTTATTAGAGAAAACTCTCACGCATGTTCATGCCGTGGACGTAGCACTCAGAAGCGATGAATCACATTATATTTTGTTTCATTGTTTGTGTCATTTGATTTATTGTTAAGTTCATTCTTGGATTTTATTCTATTAATTGGTATCAGAACTAAAGGTGCATGTATATGTTTGTGCAACTAGAATTGTTTGGTTAAAAGTTATGATAAAAATTTTCAAGTGCATGATTTTGTTTGTGACACTGAAATACTTTTGTTGAAACTGATGGCAAAATCTTTCAAGTGCATGTTTTTGTTCGTGACACTAAAATCGTTGAGTTGAAACTGTTGGTAAAATCTTTCAGCTTCATGTTTTTGTTTTTGACACTGAAGTAGTACGGTTGAAACCGATGATAAAATCTTTCAGGTGCGCGTTTTGGTTTGTGACGCTGAAATAGTCCAGGTGAAACTGATGGTAAAATCCATATATTGAATATAGAGTACCTTATTTAGCTCCACATTATATCATCATGTATGTAATGATAAAATTAAAAAATAGATTGGAGTAGAAGGCCATGTTGAATAATGATTGTACAATCCATAGACATAAGATTAAATTTTATTATAAGAATGTAACTCTCATTACATTACTCTCATTATCTAAATAAAGTATATTTTTTTATGATTTTGTATGTTTCCTAGAATTTATAATAGACATCACAAGAATAATTATTGAAGAATATTCTATATCCTCATATAGTATATAGAATATTTTCAATTTTATATATTATATATATATGTTCAATTTTTTTTATCAAAATCACATTTCTTGAATTTCAAATATTTTTTAAAAGTATCATTTAACCAAATTGCAATTGTACATTTAGTGATATAATATTGTCACATCATTTCATTCGGGGATAATTATCAAAGTTTTAATTTTTTCTACTAAGTATTTGTAATAACCCACTAAAGGCTAAAACTGCAATATAGTGGTAGAAAGGTCGAACCCACAGGGACAGAAGAACACACAGGGTACAAAGTGTCACGTTTTAACAGACTATTGAGGAGTTTGAATTCTCAGGCAACTGTCACTCCCAGAAATACTGCAAGTGTCCACTCGGAGCGCACTCGGAGGTCGCACAGTGCAGCGTAACACACACACACACACACACCTGAAACTACAGAAACACAACCCAGAGATCCGTTAGGACCTCTACTTCAGGATTTCAGGGGGAAAGTCTCTCGCGAGCACACTCGGCAAAGCTGCGGGCAGTGACTTCCAACTCCGGCTTTTACAACACTTCCACTAGCTTGCTGCTA